GTGTAAATTTGTGGGGCACCTAGCTTGCCCTTGTGAAGCACAAGCAGTAATGGGGTGGTTGGACAGTTGATTCCTACCTCATTATTTGTCACAAGTTCACCCAAATTAGGGTACCCCAAATAGAAGGTCAAATTTGCCAAGAAACTATAGTCTTCTTTTTCAATAATGTTATGGAAAATATTATTTGATGTGTCACATCAAAAATATCTAAAATTTAATTATTGTATATTACAACTTCTTTTTAGGTTTATTCCTAGTGTAATTTATAATGCGAACGAAGCAAGTTATTAAAAAAAAATTGAATCAAAATCTTACCTAAAATATAAAGTATAACTAAGATTGAATTAATGTATTATGAAGTCTATGCGTAGAATGAATTTAAATCATAAATTAATATTTTTTTCATAAAATTCTAAGTATATGGTATCACTAAATTTAATGAGCCAGAATTAATATTTGGTTTGATTTTCAGAATATGTTAGTTGAATTTTTTTTTGAAAAATTGAAAACTAATTTCGTGATAAAAAAATAATAAAAATTACTCACCATTTTCATATGCTTTTGCATTTTTCAACGGTGAAAATAATTTTTAAAATTAAAAAATAATAATTTGGTTATTTTTTTAATCAAACTTCATTTTATTTTTTCAAAAAATAAAAAAAAATTAAAATTAATTATGAAATTAAAACCAAATACATTCAATATTTCTAAATAAAATTTTGAGTAGGTGGTATTCCTGACTTTTAAAAATAGGTTTATCGGCTTGAGGGTGATGACTCACTCGTGCACCGAACAATTCAAGTGGTCCAAGTTGGCATTTGTGCTAAGGTGGACCAATGAGGGCATAGGTAACATTAAATTTTGGTGCACCAATGTGAGAGAGAACTTGGCTAAGCTATAATCACGAAAACAACATATCAACGAGTGTATGGACCACACCCCAGTGCTAATTTATGAGACCCATATACTCATCTCTAGCAAGATTCCCTCACTTCTCAACCGTTTACTTCGTCCTATATTCATATCAACGGCTCATATTATCTAAAGGCTCTAGACTCATCATACACAAAAAAAATAAAAAAAAATAAAACATATAGGAGGCAGCTATACCAACCTAGCATTTATGTTGCATCCTTTTTACAGTTACAAAAATATTTTGGAGTTTTAATTTGTGAACTCTAATAACTTTAAGGGATACTTACGTGTAGGTCTTAATAAGTGAATTTATTGCCTAATAGGTCTTATGAGAAAAATTTGTCATAAAAAAAGTCATTAATTGTAAGTTTTAGAGACAATTTATAAAAATTATGACAAAAAAGTCACTAATTGTCAATTTTTAGCAACATAAATAAAAATCGTCAAAAAAAAATATGTTTTAGCGACAATGTTACCAAGACTTGTTTTCAATAAGACTTGATAGGAATTAAATCCAACTATTAGGACCTATTGGTAGTTTTTACGTGTAGGTCTTAATAAGTGAATTTATTGCCTAATAGGTCTTATGAGAAAAATTTGTCATAAAAAAGTCATTAATTGTAAGTTTTAGAGACAATTTATAAAAATTATGACAAAAAAGTCACTAATTGTCAATTTTTAGCAACATAAATAAAAATCGTCATAAAAAAATATTTTTTAGCGACAATTTTACCAAGACTTGTTTTCAATAAGACTTGATAGGAATTAAGTCCAACTATTAGGACTTATTGGTAGTTTACCCTAACTTTTTAATGAGGGTTGAATTTCACTGTGATGCGATGTTTTAGTCTGAACTTTTTTTTTTTTTTTGAGCTGCCAGCTCAGTTAGAGCTCTACTTTTAGAACTACCAATCACTACTTTTAGAACTACCAAAATATATGGTTAATATTTATATTTTAGTTTTTATGTTATTTTGATTTTTATAATTTTAATTGATTCAATTTTGATCATAAATTTATTATTTTATCTCAATTTAGTCTAATTGATTAAAAATTTTAATAATTTTTTTATTGAAAAATACATACGTAAGTGATGTGTCATCCTTTTATAGGTAAAATCGAAAACTAATTCCAATTAGCTTAGCGACTATTTTTCTTCAAAAATCATAATCGCCCTTATCAATTCTACCAAATCGATACAAAATCTAAAATTAAGTTAATTAAAATCACAGGGACTAAAATGATACAAGAAGCAAAATGCAAGAACTATTGATGTAATTTGTCCCAATAATAAGTTGATATTGAGATAATTATTTAACAGTTTCAATATACTATGTGATATATTGGTCGGGAATATCACGTAAACATTATTATATAGTATTTTGAGAGTGTTTGATAATTTTTTGTTCATATAATTATGCATTTTGAAAGTTTGTCAATAATTTTATCCAAAATTTAAGATCTGTGATTAAGGCTTCAATAACCAAACAAATGGAAATTGAACTATCATAGACATGTCATGTCCTTAAATTGATGAAGGTACATTTTTTATCGATCGTTAATTTATTCACCGTTCATTTTTTTATACAAAACTGATTTGATCACATAGTTATCGATATCCGATCAATGTGATTTTTCACAGACATATAGTACTCGACGAGTTCTACACATTAAACGGTTTAGATTTTTAAAGCGGAACTCGTGGTGAGCCTTTACGAACCCAACAATACGATTCAATTCGATGACAGACTGGACCAAAGCCGGACCTTTTTAAAAACCTGAACTTGGGTCCGTATATGAAATGTTGGGACAAACTCTGAATGCAATAAGTGCGCATGCTTGAACATGCTTGAAGTTAGTTGTCTAGGAAATCTAATTTAACACGTTGAAAGAAGTTTTGACACTAATAAGAAAAGGTTATTATTATTATTATTATGTGTGACTTATATTTCAACAAAGATAATTCAAAAATTTGGCTATATTGCTCATTGTGTAAGGTTCACCAAGTAAATTTAAAAAATCATTAAATTAATTTTTTTTTATTGCCTAAGATTTTAAATTTTCAAAAACTCAATAATACGAGATCTTATTTTAATGTTTAGCCTAAAGTTCCAAAAAAATCAACAATCACTACAACATATAAGAGTTTTAAAGACTAAGTTTTTTGGTTTCTAAAATTAAAAATTTTATTATAAAAGACATTTATGGACTAATTATCGTCGTGGGGATAGTCGCTAAAAGGTCGTTTCAAAAAGTTAAAAATAAGGCTTTTAGCAACAAAATTTTAAAAATGTCACTAATAAATATACTTTTAGGGACAAAATAATTTGGTCTCAAAATAGTTTATTTTTTTAGAAAAAAAAATTGGTCCTAAAAAGATAGTAATTCATCACTAATATCTAATTTTCATTGCAAAAAATATAATAACGACACGTCGTAACAAAAATATTTATTTCCTAAAAAATAATTTTATCTTTAAATTTTAATCTCTAAAATCTTTTTTTTTTTTTTTTTTTTTGTAATGAATCGGAATAATTTTTTTTCAAAATTCCTGTCCGTTCCCAGTGCACATCTCCCACTACACAATGCATTAAAAATTTAGAAAGAAGGCACGGAACAAGCGGTAGTCGCTACGTAGCTCGAACCCGTGGCTCGAACCGGCTCGACACCAAAACGACGTCGTTTTGGTGTCAAATTTTTTTTTTTTTTTTTTTTTTTCGTCTTTTGTTGCAGAAGAAGAAGAGATGAAGAAGAAGGGAGAAGAAGAGAAGGAGAGAAGGAGAAGAGAAGGGAGGAGGGAGGAGGAGGAGGAGGAGGAGGGAGGGGAGGGGGCCTAAAAATCTGCTGGAGGAGGAGGTGGGCGAGCGGTGGCGGAGCTTCCACCTGCGACGATCGGCGAGGAGCAAAGGTGCTGCGACGACGGCCGGCGACGGTCTGAAGCTGCGACGATCGGCGGCAAGGCAACGGCGGTGGTGCTGCGCACCTCTCCTCTCTCTTTCTCCCTCTCTCTCCTCTTCCTCTCTTTCTCCCCTCTTCTTCCATTTTCGAGCCGTTCGAGCTCGACCTCTCTCGAGCTACGGCTCATTTCCGCGGAACAAGTGCTCCAAGGGACACTTGAGAATTACACTTTGTTTTATTTAATGAATCTTGAAACTTGTGTTGTAGGTTTTATAATAATTAATGATATTTTTTTTATCAAATATTATTAAAAAATGTTACTAATTATTAATTTTTAACGATAATTTAAAAATTATCATAAAAAAGTCACTAATTATAAATTTTAGCAACAATTTAAAAAAATCATCACAACAAAAGTCACTAATTTTCAATTTTTAAAGACAGTTTGAAAAATTCGTCACAGAAAAACGTCACTAGTAAGTTTTAGCGACAATTTATAAAAATTGTTACAAAAAAACTTACTAATTGTCAATTTTTAGCGACGTGCAAAAAATATCACAAAAAATTATTTTTAGTGATGATTTTCTTAACACTTAATTTTTAATAGAAGTTGATGAGAATCAAGTCTAATTATTGGGATTTTTTTGTAATTTATTCTAAAAAGTAAAAACTATTAAATGCGTATAATTTAATTAATAGGTTAAAATAGAAAATCACTATACTCAAAACAATTTAATGCATCATTAAATAAACATTAACAAGTTAAAATTAACAAGATACTAAATTAAAGACAGATTAATACACTATTAAATGCACATTACCAAGTGCCCAAAAGACATTGTTAGCATTAGCCTTTTAAAAATGAGTAATGATAGGGATCATGAAAAAAATATCATAAAGATAATCATGAAAGATTCTCCACCTTTAGATTACCCATACAATAAAATACTACACACTAATCACACACTAATCAAGGGATGAAAAATCTTCATGATGAATTTTATGATATATTTTTCATGATCCCTAACATTATTGTTAAAAAATACAAAAACGTCGAAATATAATAGTGCAATTAAAAAAACATTAGGATATGAACCATTAATTTTAGGGACACAATCCTTGCCCACATAGACCATACCCAAAGTCCCACCACAGACTTACCTATATAATCTTTTGATTTCATTCACACCACAAACTTACCTATATAATCTTTTGATTTCATTCACTTGATGTATGTATCTTGATATCTCTTCAAAGCAAGGCATATTGACTCACACAGCCTCATGGAGCAAGCCAAAATGCTCAGTGGAGGCCATGATCATGCCCAAAAGTTCCTCCAAATCAAGCAAGAGGACAAGTTCTTCTCAAGGCTCTTGTCCAAAGAGAGCTCAAAGGCTGAACCATCATTCAGAGTCCTCTACTATGGTGGAGCCTCTGGTGCAGTACCATTCATGTGGGAGTCCCAACCAGGCACCCCTAAACACCCACTCTCTGACCCTTCTCTCCCTCCTCTCACCCCTCCACCCTCCTACCAATCCAATCCCAAATCCAAGTCCAAGCAAAAGATTTCAAAACCAAGTTTTCTATCCATCATTTTCCCTAGAATTACCACCAAGAAAAACCATGTTTTGCCGGCATTGTCTTCGTCTTCCTTCTCCACATCATGCTCATCTGGCTCATATTCATCGTCTTTTGCTCCGATGAATAATCCATTCATTCATCCACGTGTTTGTTTGTCGGATCAAAGATCCACCTTCCGATTTGGAGTTGATGATGATGATCATGGCGATGGTGATGCTAGATCTCCTAACTCAACTTTGTGCTTTGGTGTTGTTTTTAAGGAGTTTTGGGGAAGTCGGTCCAAAATGAACGTGAAGTAGTCATTGTAAAAGGCATGAGATTCTCTATTTTTAAGTATCTCTAATTTCATGTCTCAAAGTATTCGTTGTCCATAGTAAGGGTATTAATTTCATGATGTGGCGACGAATTCAAGATTTGTGTGATCGGATGTGTGTTCGGAGTTTGGATCGGAGAAGAAGATTTGTTCCGACCATGGCAGTGGGTTTTGATCGTCCTTGGGTGTGTCGGTTGCAATGGGTGTTCGGAGCTTGAATCGGAAAAGAAGTGTTCTGTTCATGGAAGTGGAGATGGGTGTTTAACGGTCATCGGTATTTATCGGTCTTGGTCGGCGCGGCAGTGGGTGTGCTTTTCTTGTGGGTTTGTGTTTTACATGGATTTTGTGGGGGATTTTGTGGGGTAAGTTTTGGGGGCGCGGGGGGGTTTGAGTTATGTTGAGTTATGTTATTCTTAACCTCTGTTTTTTTTTTCTTGTTTTAAAAAAATCGTGAGGCTAGAGGGTTGGTTGTATGGATGCGAGTAGCGGTAGTAGCGGTAGTTTATACTTTCCAAATCTCTCTTGATGCACATCATCCTCCTGTACTCTTAATTTCATTTATATTGTTAATGAAATTATTCTTTGCTGATAAAAAATAAAAAAAAAATTTCATGATGTGGCTTGATAGTTCTTCTATTATTTTGATTTTTATGAGTAGTGTTATACAATTTAGCTATCTTATTCAAGTTTAGGGGTGTGAAAGCAATGTATTGTTGTTGGTTTTGGTCAAAATGTGTGGATATAATCATATAAATCTGATGCTAGTCAGTGTGAATGCTTAATCGATGGCATTCACTTTTTCTAATTTTGTGCATTAATAAGTGTGGTTGTAAATTATTGTTATAAATATTTCCAGATTTAATTAATTATGACCTAGCATTCATGGGTGCTTAATTGTTAGATGAGTTCAATCTTTTGCCCTGAAAAAATTGTCCTATCATGAAAATGAATTTGAGTGTATAAACAAAGATTGGTCCAAGATCTGGACTCTACATCCAAAGTGTATCGACCCCATTTAGAAGTCCAAATTTTATATTATTGAAAATACATTAAAAATTATAAAAAGATTGAAAATACCGCACCGAATAATAGCATCATGTTATTCTGAGCTGCCGGCTCTGAAACCCTACTTCATTTACAAAACCGTTGCGTATATATTGATAATATTAATTCAAAGAAGGGCACCTTAATTTAGGTCCAGGTTTTGCGCCATACTTTTATGGACATTTGTTTCAAAAATTGCCGTAGAGGGCAGGCCTAAAGTTTCCTAGAGTGCTACATTGTGTGGTTGAAATTTACTGGCAAGTCACATCAATTTTTCTGATGTGACTTGCCAATAAATCTCAACCACACAATGTAACACTCTAAGAAATTTTAGGAAAAAACTACTTTAGAGGATCCTTGCTCGGCTCTGAAACCCTACTTCATTTACAAAACCGTTGCGTGTATATTGATAATATTAATTAAATGAAGGGCACCTTAATTTAGGTCCAGGTTTTGCGCCATACTTTTATGGACATTTGTTTCAAAAATTGCCGTAGAGGGCAGGCTAATTATTGTTGAAAAAGCATATTAATTTTTGGACGAATTGCACTAATGATTCTTGTAATATAGAGCTTGTGTCAATTTAGTCCATGACCTTTCAATTATAATATATTTGGTCATGAATTTTGAATTTCGTTCCAAATAAGGAGAATTGAAGACATTGTTGCTCAATTTCAAGGGCAAACTCATCAATTTGATAAAATATAAACTAGTTTGACAAAAATAAATAGGAAAAATTACTCATAAATCATATTTTAGTAAATGTTACTCTAGTTAGTTCTAAGTGTTTTTTCTTAAACCATTTAGTCCTTTTTTATTTTTGGCGTGATATATGATGTTTGATGATGTTGGTGGTGTAGTTAATGTATTCATCAAACATCAGCAATGGCGGATGGGTGAGGATCATTTTTGCAATGGCGGATGGGTCTAATTTGTTAAACGTTATCTCTCTCTCTCTCTCTCTTAACTCCGACGTGTTTTGGAAACCCTAGCAATGGCGGACCAATCGGCCACCGTCAATCTCATCCCTCCAAACCCTAACCCTACTGACTTCGATGCCCTCGCAATCCCACTCCTTGACTCCGCCTTTTTATCCGACTCCTTCTTCTCCGATCTCGCCTTACCCTTCGACGCCGATTGTGACGACCTCGATTTCACCTTTGACGATCTCTGCCTCCTGTCCGACTTCTAAGACTTCCTTAACTCTTTTCCCTCCCAATTCTCCTCTGATCCGAGCCGCGACGCTTCCATGATCCTCAAATTTTGTGCAGAATTCCCAGTGGAGATGACACCCGATCCACTCCTATTCCCTTACGCTTCAACAATCGGGTTCTTCTAGATTTTTTGATGTTTGTGGTGAAATGATGTTGCTGATGTTTGATGAGGTTGAAAATGTAGTTGATGTTTGATGATGTTCACAATGTTGGTGATGTTGATGATGTATGATGATGTTAATGATGTTTGATGATGTAGTTGATGTTTGATGATGTTGATGATGTTTGATGAGATTGAAGATGTAGTTGATGTTTGATGATGTTAACAATGTTGGTGATGTTGATGATGTATGATGGTGTAGTTGATGTTTGATGATATTGATGATGTTGCTAATGTTTGATGAGGTTGAAGATGTAGTTGATGTTTGATGATGTTCACAATGTTGGTGATGTTAATGATGTATGATGATGTAATTGATGTTTGATGATGTTGATGATATTTTTTGATGTTGGTGATGTTGATGATGTTTGATGATGTAGTTGATGTTTGATGATGTTGATGATGTTACTGATGTTTGATGAGGTTGAAGATGTAGTTGATGTTTGATGATGTTCATAATGTTGGCGATGTTGATGATATATGATGATGTAGTTGATGTTTAATGATATTGATAATGTTGCTTATGTTTGATGAGGTTGAAGATGTAGTTGATGCTTGATGATGTTCACAATATTGGTGATGTATGATGATGTAATTGATGTTTGATGATGTTGATGATATTTTATGATGTTGATGATGTTTGATGATGTAATTGATGTTTGATGATTTTGATGATATTTTATGATGTTGGTGATGTTTGATGATGTAGTTGATGTTTTATGATGTTGATGATGTTTGATGATGTAGTTGATGTTTGATGATGTTGATAATGTTGTTGGTGTAGTTAATGTTGGGAAATGAGGGAAATCTAAAAAAGGCCTATTGTGAGCTTTTAACATTCAAATAGGACTTATTAGTCTACAAAATAAAAGGCAGGACCAAATGGTTTAACAAATTAAAATTTGAGATTTATTGGTGTTTTGCCCAAATAAATATCAAAAATTTATTTTTACTCATCAAAGATAATATTACATAAAAATAGTAAATCTTTTACTTTTTAATTTTTTTAACAAATTAATTTTTAATATGTTTGGATGATGATCATATAATGACTGGTTATTTTTGTTAATATTTTGGATGATTATTATGTAATAGATGGTTATATTTGCTGTTAATAAATATTTTTGAGTGGTTATCATATAATGGATGATTATTAAGTTTTTAATGTGTAATCGATATATTTAATATATGAAATATTTTTAGTTTTAGATTTTTTGATTTAATGGATTGGTTTAATAATGACATCAAAATTGTTGTCATTTTTTACTTTTGAAAAAATAAAATCTAATTTAACCAAAATAAATATAAAAAAAAATTATGTATACCATCCCAAAAGATAAAATTATATAAAAATGATATATTTTTAATATTTTTTTTCTTGCTGTTATCACGACAATAGTCTTGGCATCGGAGATGTAATGAACGATGTTTGATTGGAAATCAAGACGCCCTAACATGCTCACCGACCCCTTGATTTTTGATTTTTGTGGATAGTTGCATACATATCACCACTCAACAGCACTATCGCCATTACCACCATCACCTCATTTTGCAGATAATGATGATGAAGTAGAAGCACCAGCAGCAATAGCAAGCTAGGAGAAGGAGCCATGGAGGAAGATGATGAAGGAAAATAAGAAGAAGGAGAGAATAATCTTATTTTTAGTCAACTTTTAGAGCACCCATGACATGTAAAAAAAAGATGGAACAAGGTGTATAAGGAGTGGAATGAAAACTGGGCCATGAGGTGAATCTAACGACACAAAAATGAAGTGAAATAAAGTTATGACGAGACAACAATAAGGGTTTGAACATGTAAGTTTGAATCTAAAAATTTTGCCCAAAGAAAGAAAACATTTATTTTTGGCCAATTTCGGAGCTCCTACGGCATGCAAAAAGAGATGGAACAAGGCTATAAGGGGTGGAATGAAAATTAGGCCATGAGATGAATTCAACGACATGAAAATGAGGTGAAACAGAGTTATGGGGAGGGAGATACAAGGGTTTGAATATGTGGATTTGAATCTGAAAGAAGGAAGAAGATGTAGTGAGACAGAGATGGACGGAAGGTTCATATTGAAACACAGATAAAACTATAGGGTTTAATTTGTCGAAATTAAAACTTTATGGTTTAAAATTATAAAAAAAAAACAAACGAAACCATGGTTTTTTTATTTTTATATTTTTATAATTAACCTAATTTTTTTCTTTTTCCTGAAAATAGATTCCGAGAACCAAATCAAATAGAACTTTATAATTAAGAAAATTTTAACATTATTCATTTAAAAAAAAAGCCATCACATTTCAAACAATATACAAGTTTAATCAACACAAAATAAGTTGTATGACGACTTTGCCCTTGAAATGGATCATTTGCAAAAGAAATATCTTTGATTGTGCTTATTTGAAACAAAATTTAAAATTCCGGATAAAATGTACCATAATTAAAAAAATTAAGAACCAAAATAATATAAGTCCCAAACTACAAATACTATTAATGTAATTTGCCTACAATTTTTCAAACCACATGCCTCCTATCCTCTTGTGCCGTTTCTTTTCCTAGCCCATTTCTACAAACCACGCCTTAGTTATATTAATTAAAAATATTTGAGACTGTTACAAAAAAATTTCTAGAGTTTGACCCTAATAAGAAAAAAAATCCC